GCGCGGACCCGACGTCCATATAATTGTAAGTCAATGCGTACACACAAGTCGGTTCTTGGCGATGTACTATTTCAGCTTTCTAATTTGTGATTTCTAAATTTATAAATGATGTATCACTGATAAGTTACCAGGAATGCATGGCCCTTATTTCGTCTCTATTTCTGGTTATATACTCGATGCACACGGATAACGTCTTACTCAGACGTTTAATTAAAGAACGTATGACAACGATATAAGATTGAATATATCATCCCACAAATGTATAAGTCAGAATGTTGTTAAATAGGCAAGGCACTATATATATGTTATGTTGACCTCGCACCCCACACACGCATCGACTGTTCTGCTCGGTCGATAGCCCTTAACAATGGTTATTTCATTAAGAGTCGATACTACCTACATATATCGAGCCCTCCTACGTAAAGTATCGCATGTCGATATTGCCAAGTTTACAGGGGAGCGTTTCAAAGTTCTCCTTTTTATTTGGCAAAACCTCATTACTGACATAGAGTGATCATCTAACCGACATCTAGGATTTTACAATACTCTATGTGAGTAACGAGCTTTGCCGAATAAAACTGAGAAATGCTAAAGTCACGTATTATGCTTATTGCAGTGAATTGAGAACTTTAAAACGCTTCCCTGTAAACTTGGCAATTTCGACATACGATACTTTACGTAGGAGGGGTCGACATATCATAATAGCACGAATTCCATTTTTTCCCGTACTAATACGGTTCATTTTGCTTGGGTCGAGTGGCAGAAAAATGTAAAAAACGTACATAATTCGACCCCTCCTACGTAAAGTATCGTATGTCGAAATTGCCAAGTTTACAGAGAAGCATTTTAAAGTTCTCCGTTTTATTCGGTAAAGCTTGTTACTCAAATAGAGTGATCATCTAATACATCATCTAGCCGATATCTAGGATTTTATAATACTCTATGTGAGTAACGAGCTTTGTCGAATAAAACTGAGAAATGCTAAAGTCACGTGTTGTGCTTATTTCAGTGAATTCAGAATTTTTAAAAGGCTCCTCTGTAAACTTGGCAATTTCGACATACGATACTTTACGTCGGAGGGGTCGATATATAATATAAAAAATATAACGATGTTATATCATTGATACATGTAAAGTACAAATTGAATACAGCGGTTTTCTTGTAAAATTTCGAGGTAAGTTTCTGTTTTTTTCTATCACGAAGATTTTTAGGAGTCGTATTTTCACACCGTATACTAGTCATTGCATATCCTCAATTTTACAATTTTTCCCAAAGTGCTTGCTTGAACACTTTCACTGTTATGCGGACTCAACTAAGGCCATTTAAGGTTGTTTCGACTCTTAATGAAATGACTGTATTTATTTCGTATAGTAACATCGAAACCTTTTGCATGTTATACGGTCAGAGAAGACTGCTGCACTTTTGACCACTGTACCTTTAGTAGCGTTACCGAAACAACTTATCACTAAAAACACCAATTTACTAACAACATACATAGAATATTTAAGCTTAATTTAAAGTGATATCAATCAACTTAGGACATTTTCGCACATGTTATATGACGTAAATAAGGTGAACATAAATCACCGCACGACTATCGTGATGTATTTTTCGTACTGATAGCATTATCATTATGTGCGCCTGGCAACGGCATCAGCGTTACGCGACGATGCTGGTAGCATCATCATAATAACGGCATCAACATTGATCCTCAAATTCGACGGCTTTTCGTAAACTCGACCCCTCCGTGGTTAAGTATCCAATGTCGAAATTGTCAAATTTACAGGAGAGTCTTTTAAAGTTTTGAATTCACTGAGATGAGCACAACACGTGACTTTAGCATGTCTCTGTTTTATTCGACAAAGCTCGTTACTCGCATAGAGTGATCATCTAACCGATATCTAGGATTTTATAATACTCTATAATGAGCTTTGCCGAATAAAATTCAGAACTTTAAAAGGCTCCTCTGTAAACTTAGCAATTTCGACATACGATACTATACGTAGGAGGGTCGATATCGGATACCATCTTTCGTATACGTAATTCAGCTGCGGCTATTCTGCTAGCGCCATCATTATACGCGTCTGGCAACGGCATCGACGATGCTCTAAAATTCGACTGCCTTTTGTAATTTTTGATGTTTTCCGTGTACGCGATTCGACTGCGGCGAGGCTGGTGGCGTCATCATAATACGCCTCTAATAATGGCATTAGCATTGATGCTCAAATTCAAAGACCTTTTGTAATATTTTTCGTATACGTTATTCGGCTTTTCATACAAGTAATGCTGGCGAAGTCATAATGATAAGCGTCTGATAACAGCATCAGCATTGCAGCTCGAAATTGACAGGCGAGATCCAATGTGCGGTTAAATATTTAAACTAACCGTAGAACCTTTTCGTTTTCCTTTTCAATTATAAACAACCTCCAATAATAAAGTCATCATTAAAAAAATATTCACAAAATTTTAACTGACCGAACGTAAATATACGCAAGCAATTTTTTTTTACCGAATCAAATGGTCCTTTCACACGAGTAAACAAATCTGACTAGATTTTTAAACATTAAAATCTAACGACTGCTAGCTTCCTAGGACAGATTTACTTAGGGCATCATCATGTAGTATATCCCCAAAAATATTTTTAAAAGATATTCTTAAACTGAAGAACTTTGACTGCGATCGCTTGTCTGCAGTGAGCAACAAATCATGGTTGACATAGCAGTGATGTAAACTTTAAACAAGCAATTTGAAAAGTGAAATGGACGGCATTAATTTTTAAAACAAGTCAAAATTAGATTTAAAAAATGTGACACACCGACTATTCGACTGGAATTTTTGAGGCTGGAATTTATAACACGCACTTTGAAGCAAAAAAATTATAAAGTAAACAAACAGGACGCGTATATTTGTTTTTTCAAAGAAACCAACGTTTCGGGCCGTTTACAGGTGCCATGGTCACAACCGTGACCGTCTTAGCCACGTTATTAAGATCCCAAAAAATATTTTAATTTCCTATGTATAACAACCGCGAAAAACTAAGAACTCGATAAATAAACTCAAAGTTCAATTTAATTCCTTACTTAATCTTAGCTTAAGCGGTAATAGCCTAATGATTAGACCTACCGTCTCTTAAACAGAGACTGTGGATTCGAATGTGTTTCTCGAAATTTATACGCGAAATTTAATTTTGATTTACCAAGTGAAGGACAACATCGTGATGACCTGCACGTCGAAGAAGGTTCACAGCCCTCGGAAAACGTGGACAGTCGCTAACCCGCATTGGGCCAGCGTGCCCGTGTTCAGCAGTGGGATGTATAAATGGGTTGATAATTAAATGGACATTTAAACTTAGCAAAGTTCGCTTTGTAAATACGAAAAACTTCAAGGTGTTTTATAAATTTCAGCCAAAGTCATTTACATGCCTACTTGAGCGCAAAATACATGTGTTGGTTTACTCTTTACTCTAACCCAGCTGATAAATATATTTTCTCTGTTATCTTGTGGTCATGTGAAAAGGACGGATAATAGATAACGAAAGAAATGTATGTGCATTTTTAATGTCAATTTTCAACTTAAGTTAGTGAAGATAAATTTTTAATTTTTAAAATAAAGATAAATTATAAGATACTTGTACTTATTTTGCTCAGTACAAGTCGTTAGAGAACAAAGTTTGCAGTTTAAGAACGATTGCACAAGATATTAATTATTTTTGGGGCATCTACACGTAATAAATTACTTAATAATTAACGAATAAAGGCTTCCACACAACTACTATCAAAGATTTTTGTACTGGACACGTATTTACAAGAAATATAATTATTATGTTTTAAGAGTAAATACATAACAATGTTGTCGATTGGGATAAACGAAAGAAAAAACTAAATTTAGGTCCGTGCGCTTATCTTCATTACCGTTAAGGAAAAAACTGAAGACTCTAGAGCTCTCAAATCAGTAGACGTCAACCGACCACTCCTAAATAAAGTAAATGGCTCATAGAACAACACTAAACTAAAATTAAATCTCCAGTTCTTTTCCTATTGATAACGAAGAAGACAGAAGCACGTGACTGAAATTAAGTTTAGTTTGTCAGCTCGAATTGAAGCCATTGAGTGCGGTATACATAAATACCGTTAATATAGGATACGGGTGTTGCTACAACGTAATATTAATTATTATAATATGGTGCAAAACATTATGCCTTCATAATGTTACATTTTTTTTAAATTTTCAGATTAGAAGGCAAATAACGTTTCATATTCTTATCATAATATTTACTAAGATTATTTAAAATACTTAATAGTAAAATTTTTAGTTCTATGTCCAGCATTGAACGTCCATACATAGAAGAAGACAGATAAGCTACATTATCAGTAATATGGTGATAACATGTAACAAATTTACGATATAGACAAAAAAAACTAAAGATTTGATTGGTTTTTAATAGATTTACATTAACAATGTAAATGTGTTCGGTGAATCTCGTTATATTGTTGTTTATGAGTTAAAAAAACGAGTTTAACTTAGGAATCCTAGGTCAATTAGCAACCTCAACTTGCCTGGTTTTTACTGATACTGTAGCTAAGTAAAACCGAGTTGCAATGGTAGTTTAAATGTTTGGTATTAGCAAGTTTCGTGAGTGTTACGTTACGATTCATATTGACCGGGAATATTTGTGTTGATCCACGAATAAGACTTAACAATGTACCGGTAAAAAATCTCGATACCGGTAACAGCGAAAAGCATTGTAAAATCGAGTGATCTATTTAAAAGTAAAACGAATAGATAGAAAATAATATATGCAATGTCCTTTTTTACCGGTATCAAAATCTTTTACCGGTATCATGTACAATCTACCTTATTTTTGAATTTTTTTTATAATACAACTCTCACACAATTGTAATGTCCGAAGTTAGTAACATTACAAGTGCGTGTGTTGTAACAATCGATTACGAGATGTTACAACCAAATGCTCCTGGTCATTACGCGTCTCTATTATGTTTTACAGCTTTATTACTTACTTAAGTATTGTAGATGGAAACTTGCGAGAATATTGTTTTATTTCCTATTGACTTAGAACGATGGTATGCATTATTCGCAATGCTATTTGACTTAGATACCAGCTTCCGTATATTGCGACAATTATATGCTTTACTTGTATTTTGTGGATGGTGTTATGGCTTACTCGCAATGCAATTTGGCTTTTTTAATGTCAATGGGGTCTTCATCTTCATCCTCTTCTTCGTCCCATTCCCAGTCGGGGTCGTCGGGATCAGGTTCCTCTTCTATACGGGAGGTATCTTCTGGAATATCTTCATCGTCGTCCTAGAAGGAAAAACTACTATACAGTGTGTTTTTTTTTTGGGGACAGTATGGGGAAATCCGAAACTTAGGAACCATTACGTCTTTTTTTGTGAAAACAATTTCGGCATAGTAAATTTTTTGGTCAAGAATGAGTTATCTATAAATATGAATAAAATAGATAAATTTTTTTTACTTTTTTTTAAATTTATTTGTTCAAAACACAATACTTAAACTAAAACTTATGGTAAGACTACTTTCAAAAACCCTTAAGGGTTTATACTGATCGCCTCAGTTTCATGGAAGAATCATTTCATTGTATTGAAAGAAAAAATCGAGACGGCAAAAGTTGGTCAAATTTAATAAAATGTTTTTTCATACAGAATGATCAAAATTGACAGATTTTTTTATGTCGTTGCCAAAATTGTTTTCACAAAAAAAAGACTTAATGGTTTCTAAAACAGTTTCCCTGTATATCCTATGGTTTTGGATTTCCCGACACTGTCCCAGTTAAAAAACCTACTGTATAATGGTAACATTAAAATTCCGTTGACTTAAAGTGGCCTGTGTGAGACAAAGACAATTTCATAACCTCAAACAAGGAATTCCCTTTACAATGCATACTAGAGCAACGGAGAATCCACTCCGGGGTACTACCCAGAACACCCACATCAGAACCAATTTAGAATTTAGTAGTTAATTTCACAAATTTTTCCTACTGGGAATCGAACCCACAACCTCGTCATATAAAAATAATAACAATAACGTGCACTCTCATAGCCCGGCTAGGGAAACCTGCATCGCGAGTACCATGGACACACACATGGACAATTACAAATTATTCCTAAACTGACGGGAGAAATAAATGTAAGACATACAAATATTTCTCCCGGCCCGGGAATCGAACCCGGGAACTCCAGCATAGTAACTAAAAAAAAAAAAGTAGTTAAATATTTCAGTGCCAGGAGAACGAAGAATTATTCTATTTTAAAATTCTTGTATATTGTTACCATTGTTTTTTGTTCATACGATCGCAGTATCAATAGTTTTCTGAATATTGTGTACAGTAGATTTAGCGTTCCAATTACAAAATTGGAAGGTAAATGTACTGGTGTTCGTTTTTAAAGTAATATTGTTTAAGAGGGAGGATGCCAAAAAAGTTTTGACGTTGGCTCCGCCCAAATTTGTGAAACAAATATATGCCTGAAGTTCGCGTGACTTGCGACAGGAGATGTTGAATTTTGCGCATTAAAAGTACCAAATTCGTTTTAGCGGAATAACTCTAAAACTAAAGGGATTAAAAAAAATCCGTAGTGACAGTTCTCGATCATGCATAAATATAATTAATTATCCAATTTTTGTCTAATAACCTGTAGCATTTCGAGGATGAATCGAAAAAATGTGAAAATTAGAGGTCATTTCGTGATTTTTATCTATCGAGGAAACTTTATTGTTTTATGTTTCTGATTAGTGTATATGCTTATATATATCGTGTAGTTACTCATACAATATTTTATTTTTAACTTTAAAGTGGATATATACCCCTTTAAAATCAAATCGAAGATTAGGAATTTTTCGTCTGCTCTCTCTTAAATATAATGCTGTAATCTGTCTGTGTAATTTGTACCATTGCAATAAAAATAAAATAACGTATTCTACGACGTGGACAATACGAACCTGCTGCGTCTGCATGACGGCGATGGGCGGCGAGTTGGTGTGCGCGGCGACGCGGCGCTCGATCAGGTACGACACGTACTCGTCGTAAAGGAGGCGGATCAGGTGGAACGACCCGAACGACGCGGCCGACCTGCGCAGCAGACATCCCACTTCAACGAGGCTTACATTTAAAAAAATCTTTTGTTCTGGAGAATATGCCAGTCCTATCACCTATACCTATAGTCCATATGCTATGTGAAAATGGACTATAGGTCCATTTCCCGTAGTATGGGTACGGTGACATTTGAGATTTGAAGTTTCTAGAGATGTAGTGACATAAAATCGAATAAAAAAAAAACGATCCAAATATCTTATTGAGACAGTTTGTAACGTAGAGGGAATCGATTTAGAGACTGTAGTTCAAAACAATTGATAAGCAACATAAAAAGGATACAATTATTACGTTATTAACTTACTATAGTTCCTTGTATCTTAACAAGTAATAAATTAATGATCGAGAGGCTTGCGCATCGGTTTTCAAGGTATTGCCAACTCCGAGGACCCAAGTTCGATTCCCGATTGGCGTACCCATGGCAGCTCAGTACGGCGGCTACTAGTCTAATTTGTATAATATTGCTACGCAAGCTGTTTGCTGGCTAGAATAAAGTCACCGCAGCGTGAGCTCCCTGATGACCAGCGAGGAGTAGAAGGACCAGTCCAGCAGCAGCCGCCGGGCGCGCTGGGTGTAGTCGGGCTTCCGCTCGTGCGGCTGCAGCGCCGTGCGCACGCAGCCCTCCAGCCACGTGGCCCACTGCTCCAGCGTGGCGCCGCGGCCCAGCGTGTGCTTGAAGTCCTGGCGGGACAAGTGGGCGTCATACGGTGCTCAAACTTTGGTACGGGCACTTTACTTTGATTGCAATTGGACAACGCAGGAAGTCTGTGTTAGATGTTCAAGAATTTTAAGAAAACGAGTCAAATCAAATCAAATCAAAATTATCTTTATTTCGTAGGTAAACAA